GGGAAAAGGTCTTTCTCACTGAATAACAATCATTATTAAAAACTGGATCATTGGATAATGCAATTCAAGACTTTTTATTGGCTTAGCCATTATGGTATATGAGCCAATATTCCATAATCTACAAATATGGCAAGCGTACGCGGCAGCTTAAAATCAAAAGGGAGCTAAAAATCCTGTTTTTTCTGACAAAATAATAATTTCTTGGCGGGAGTTTTTAATAAAACAATTATTCCACTCACGCTTGTTGGATATGAGATGATTATAGCCAACTCGGCGCTACGCGCCTCGTTGGCTATCTATCATCTCATATCCAACGCGCGCTCGTGGAATAATTGTTAAATATGTGATATCGTATATGATAATAGCCGACAGGCACCCCGCATGGTGCCTCAATTCTCGGTGGAGAACGAATAGACGAAACATGAAATGTCTTCGTGAGATAAAATAACGACGAAGGATGGGTTTATTCTAAACTGTTCCGTTAACAGAAACGATTTGAAAGTAAGTAAGTAAGTAAGTAAGTAAGTAAGTAATTTATTTATCCACATTTCACAATTGAGTATAACTCGTTTTAACGTGAACGTGCCAGGTTAAAATACCTTCAGAGGATTACCCAAGAAAAAGGCCTCTAAGGCTGATTCAGTAATAATGACTTGTTTGTCGTTGCACGTGATCAGTGTATGGATTAACGGAGGCTTGACGTTGACGCATAGTGTTGCAGTAGAGAGATTTAGCATCCTGTATATATGAAACGTGCACGACGAGAGTAACCGCGTGACCTTGTTTTTCCCGCTATTTTTTCACGTGTGCCAGTTGCGCTTTGCCATTTTTAAGTGGAAGTAACGAGTTTCGTGTTTGTCGTGTACGTACTTGATTCTCTTCACTTTTTCTCTCACAGAGTAGAAGTTAACTACCGAGGAAAGGTGCAGGAAAACTATTCCTCGTAAGTTATGCAGGGGCGCCTTCAAATCCACCACGACGAGAACTCATGCGAAGCTAAAACAGAAAGGTTCACGCTATATTACGTGAAATGTGAAAGGGCAAGCCGACGTTTGCCGTTTCACGCAAACGCAGTGCTAAGTCTCTCTACTATACAACACTGTGTTCAACAGAAAAATTGCAATTTTATTTTGTCACAAATTGTCGAAAGGTTAGGTTATTCTTGAGAGTCAAAAAACACGGCGAGTGTCACACTTTCAAATTTACTTTTTAATGGTGAACAAATTCAGGGTAGTTTGGCAAACAGTAAAGATAAGCTAGGAATACATGACGTTTTGGATTGAAATACCTAACTAAAAATCTGTTTTGACTCTTGGTTTCTTGTTCGCTGTTAGGGAACACTTGTGTCTTCTCACGTGCAGGGAATTTACGGTATCCTTGTAAAGTAAACAAGACTACGTAAAAGCCTCTGGCTTGAGTCAATGTTAAGTTCTCTTGGACTACCACTGGTAAATTAAATACTCAAAGGCAATTGTCTGATTGTATATTAACTTCTTACGAAAAACGACCGAGGGCCAATATTTCTCGGTACGGCTTGAGAAAGCGTAGTTAGTAAGTAGTTTGTTATCTGGCACTCGGGCCAAACTTGATTATTTTGGATTTGCTGGATTTCGCGAGACGAAAATACACGGCAAATACCGACTATGGTCGAATAATCTCTTGGCACGAATCAGAACGTTCGGATTTACCTAAAGACTACCTTGCTATGTAATAAAGCCAAATGCTGAATAGCAAACATTTCCCGTGGGACAGTACAGCCCATTGGTTTAATTTAATTTTCTATCCCCGCAGAACGTTTTGTAATGTGTAAAGAGTAATCACGGAAAGGTATTTCTCGCTTGAATGGTCTGGTCGAAATTAAAGCTGCATTGCTATATAAGATATATAAAGCACTGCTCCTTATTATAAGTTAATTTTCACGCATAATGTTTAAACCAAAACCAGAGGAAAATCCGACCGGTTCTGTTACGTTTTTGGTATTTATTCTTAGCTATCGACCGACTAGATATACATTCGGACGCCAAATTTGTGTTAGTTGTGGAGAAAGAAGCTTCCTTCCAGCGGTTGATGGACGACAATGTATTACACAGGTTACATCCGTGTATTGTCATTACTGTAAGTACAAGTACAGCTTCTTCATTAGAGCGTATTCCAAACAAAACCAAAGTAAGTGAAGAGAGGAAATGTATCACGAGGAACTAATAAGAACTCAGAAGAAAAACAGGCCGACAGCTTAAAGCGCGCGAAAACGCAGCCGCGACCAAGTCGAGATTGGTTTTAGTTTTGCATCTGATTGGTTGAGAGAGAGGTGCAAGTCTTCTGGACAAATCAGAGCGAAATAGAGTAAAACCGAAGGAATCACGGATTAATTTCAACAGTCAATTGAAAACTGCTCTATTTAACTATCACTCTATGTTTACGTTTTCATATCGTCAAATATGGGATGACTGATTAAAAGAGGAACACCGCACGTTTCCTCTGAGTTTAGGTTGCGACATCGTTTTCCTTGTTCTTAAGTTTGTATAATTTTATCCTCATTGCAATACAACAAACGATACTGTTTTAGTTGCTGGGTTGAATAATTTTTGTAAGCATGCTATATGACTTGAAATTTAAGGGTAAAGGTTTTCCGGATGTGAATACGCGCATGATGATCCGCCGATTGTGGTACACTCTCCAAATACCCATCTTAGCCCTTGTGGATGCAGACCCTCATGGTGAGTGACAATCCTCTTTCCTCTCTCTTGTGATCTCTTAAAGGAGCATATGCTTACTTAATGAAGCTTGGTACGACGTCAGTAAAACTTTCCTTACCAAATTTTTGTAAATCTTCATGAGAATTAAACAAGGGGCACGAGTCGACTGTTGAACTAGGGAATACTCGATCTAAATTCTGAATTCGACCAATTTAATGGGGCAACTTCTCTGCGTTAATCCAGCATGGCGAGCGAGATATATTCAACTTAAGTTGAATATATCTGAAGTTTCCTCAACAAACAGGCTGCAGCAAATTCTGTAAGTACGTCGCCTATGTGATACTATGCAGAAATTATAGTAATTTGCTTTCCTGAAAAAACTTTACCTGATCAAGAGTTTACTTCATTTTCATCCGCAGGTATAGAGATCCTTAGCGTATACAAGTTTGGTTCAAAGGTACGCCTGTGGAGGCAAACTGCTGACATTCATTTGTGAGACATTTTTGCTGAATTCCCTTACTAATCAATCAGTGGTCGCTGAATTTTCCAGGCTCTCTCGTTTGATGCACAGAGCTTAACAGTTCCTGTTTTAAAGTGGCTCGGCGTTTTGCCAAGTGACATCATCAGGTATCTTCGTTTGAAAGGACGATCTATGTTGTGTAATAAACTGCATTATGTCAGTGAAACGTGGGCCATGAAAAAAACATTCCGACTGACATTCATTTTGGAAAGTATTACGCGCTTCCTAGGCAGCTTTAAGGTTTATTGTTCAAGTATATTTAATCCATGTTTATGTCCCAAAATCTATGCTTGTGGTATTTTTTTAGCAAGTTTTTGTCTAGTTAGTGGTCAATTATGGTTCCAAATGGCTTCTTTTAATCGTTTTGTTTTTTTCTTTTTTTGTAATACCCCTTTACTAAAGAACCAGCGGTTTACCTTTATTAAGCCGTCATCCAGCCAATCCCCGTGGGTGGGTGACCGCTAAATTCAGGTTCGTCTGTGACTTTGTTCCGTGGCGTTTACTCTAGGAGCGCTGTCCGAGCGAGATCTGGAACGGTTCGGTGACGTCACTATTCAAAGTAGGTTCCAGTTTTGACCACGCTAAGAGCTGGAGTTACTGGCTACATGTACACTGAACAGCACTAAGGGAACGCATTCGGAACATCGTCTTCAAGATAGAGTTTTGGTCGTTCGTCCCCTAACGTCAATTTCTCCGCCTTATTCCAGGTTGTCTATTCCGCGTGATCAACTGATACCGCTTACCGAACGAGACAGATACAAAGCACGTGAGCTGCTTGACAGACCTTACATTCAGTCCCATGAAGTTTGGAAAAAGGAGGTATTTGACGACTCTCAAACGCCCCTTCACCTTCGACCGCGTGTGTCAGAATGAGAACGAACTGTTGTGACCCAGAATTGGTCGAGTTCTCACCTTGTCCCTCAACGTTCTCTCCATCAAAAGAACTTAAGCGGCTATGTTATCACTACTTCCCAGTGGTGAACAGTGATACCGTCCTCAGAGATTCAAGTCTTTTGGCAAGCTTTAAATGACATAAATGATCGCGAGATATCGCGAATTCTATCAAGTTTAAGCAATGTCAATTATGGTTCAGATAGGAGTTCAAAGCCTTGGAACAAATTTAAACTAGACATAACGTTTTTGTAGTTTTTTGTTCGTCTCCTTCAAGTGCTGAAATTTTTCTTTTTTTTCAGATTGAGACAATGCTATCCCAGGGGTTCAAGGCAGAGATTCAAGCTCTTTCCTCCATCTCCTTTAATTTTCTTTCAGAGACTTATCTTCCTGTTAAGATCAAGCACGGCCGATGGATCTGATGTCAAGACTATCACTTGGCTTCCACTGTGCTTCACATGTACTTAACTTTAAGAATGCAATGACGCCACCTCTCTGAGGGAATCATAGTGACTACAGCAACAGATTTCTGAGTAACAATCAATCAACCACCAGACATCCATGGATTGTATATTCGCTATCGTAGAGTTTAGGCCATTAATTCAATTTTCTCAACACAATGTAACGAAAATCTGCAATCAATATTCGAAATACTTTTTAAGCAGTTGAAAAAAGTAATTGGTTGGAAATAAATCTGTTCTTTCATGCAGCTTACCTTGCTTTTCTTATCGCTCTAAACCTCAAGAGTGACTAAAATATAATTTCTCCATACAGTTTTATCCCTGAATCACACATGACGGTCACAAGAATTAAGGAAATGATCACCAACTAAAGAAGCTCTTGATTGTTAAACAAATTCTCCTTGTCAGCACCTTAGGAAATGTATAGAGAGCAGTATGGAGAATATGCATACTGATGTCGGGGTAAAGGGTTGACATAAAGTATGTAGCCGGAAGTACTGCTACACCCACTAGATGGCATGCTAGACCATCCCAAATGATCCCCCAGCACTTCCTCAAGTTTCTTTATCATATTGCTGGCATCCATTTACACCTGGAGGAAGAGGGTAAAGTGTCTTGTCTAGGATCACGACGCGAAAGCCCAGTCAAGGTTCAAACCCCAGATCTCCTGAGATTGGAGTTCAACACCCTAAACAACGAGCTGACCAAGTTGTTATACTGTTTCCTTGGTTAGAAGATTACATGCAAAACAGTTTTTACTGGTTTTATCTTTTGCACTACACACAAAAAAGATTGCAATCATGTTTATTCACAAATGATCATATTTAATTTAATTCAAAATCACAGAGGAAGGAGTTTTTCTTTGCGCTTGAAGCATAGCCCAAATTAAGTGTCAAAGATCACATCTAGATTGCACTATTTCACAGTTAAATTTGAATTTCCCAGAAAAGTGTTGAAGACTACAACTCATGTTTAGGGAGAAGACTGTTCTTGAGACTGATCCATGCAGACCATACTTAGTGACTGCAAAGATGTTTACATTTGTCATAAGATCACACAGATTTTTAGCACTGTACTAACTCCTCCCTGCCTAGGTATGCTGAAGAGATCTGTTAAATGCATTATATGCTTGTTCTAAATCAAACAACATCTGTCGGACCTGTTCATCAGTAAGTTCATCACTTGCTTTCATACTGCTTAGTGTTTCATACCTACAGTTTACAGGGAAAACAAATCAGTAATCAGCAAGCAATCATGAATTGTATCAGTGGTAAACAGTTTACATGTATTGTGAATATATACTAGTCGCAGATCAGAGGAGGGGCCCAAGGAAACCCTCCCCCACCCATTATTTTGGGTAATAAAAATAAATGCAGAAGGATGAAAGGCTAGCAGATATTCACACACACAANAGGCAAGGAGAGGGGAAAAAAAGGGCAGGAGAAAGAGAGAAAAGTAGAAGTCGTAAGTGGGGCATGACTTTTCAACCCAAAAACTATGTCGAAATTTTGCTCTCTGCGCGTGCCCGAGATTTTCAGGCCGCCATTTTGCATTTGGATCGAAAGGCCGTCGAGTGCACGAGCTGTCAAGCGGTTTTTGGTAAGTTTGAGCTTTTAAAACCACAACAGTGACCCGAAATCTGCTCAACTAGCTTCAAAACACAGTTTTCCACAAAAGCTGCGGCCATTAATGGGTTAAAGCTAAACAAGACTGATTTACAGAGAGAAAAACCTGTAAATCAGCAACATTCAGTGGACAGATGTTCAAGCAGACTACTTTAATTTATGACCAAAGTAGTTGTTTGAAACAATAACCCTAAAATTACTGTCATACCAGCAATAATGAATCCATTCTCCTTAAAGGCTATTTTTTTTTTCTTGCAGTGAGTAACCAGCAGGTGACAGAGAACAACTTGAATTCAACTGAATTATGATCCAGCTCTTGTCATTGTCTACAACTGTAATCTTATTTCTAAACAACATCTTTGAAACCTTACCAGCCATTCACTTTGATTTTTCCCTCAAAATCCTCAGGGAGTGCACTAAGGCTGTTCATAGTATCCATCAAGTCTCTCAGATCTGGATGAATCTGTGTTGTAAACATGCATAACAATCACAGTAAGGTACTAACAAGCATTAGAGAGTAATCAATAAGCACTGGAATGAATGCTTTAGAATCAGCAATTGACAATAGCCATAGTTAAACTTCTTTGAGTCATTTGAAAGTATAAAGTTGAGGCTTTCTACCTAACTTTCTGGGAAATAATAAACCTTGCAAAAAAAATTGATTATAATCAAAAGTGGTTATAATCAAAACAATCTGCTCTGAATATGACAAAGCAAGCTTCACTTATGACCTGCAATTCACATATTAAGAACTCATACTATGCAGGACACATGAGATTTAACAATTCTCCTATAGAGGTTTTGCACAGCAGCCATGTTGGATGGCAGGAACAATAGATTATTTTACCCATGGGAAAAAAAAAATTCTTTCTTATGCAAACTATTTTCATTGTTCCTGCCATCCAACATGGCTGCTGTGCAAAACCTCTATTGTACCCTACATGATAGTTTGATGAAATGATAAAAAAAAAGCCACTATAATCAGTGCTAGTACTATGTTACCTCATCCATTGCTCTGATCTGTAATCTGAGCTTGTCCATAATTGTTATAAAGAGCTTAAATTAGAACAAAGCAACAATAACTGTGAGGAAATGTGTGCAAGTGTAGGGTGACCTGGAGGGTGAATTCTTGCCAAAAAACCAATGTCCTTGAACTCCTACATGTGGAATTTCATGTACTTAAGTAATATACTAGCTATGCTCTCACAATATTTCCTCTTTCTGTATATAACTTGCGGATCATCAGCGAAATGGCAAAAAAAATTGTGACTAGAGTGCAACCCATCAATACCATCAACATCCCCTAAAAAGAATCCTTTTACTTAACCAAAGACAGAAAAAAAGTGTAATCCACTCAAACTAATACAATTTCATCTTAAAACCTGTATAGCCAGTCCTGTTGCAGAAATGCTACAACTGAAACCCATGTTCACTTCATTGATGAACATTACTTCATTGATGAACATTACTTCATTGATGAACATTACTTCATTGATGAACATTACTTCATTGATGAACATTACTTCATTCAAGAAGCTACAGCTGTATGTGATACAATATACCTTTGCATGATTACACAACATATTATATTTTACTCACTGAGACTGTGTCTGCAATAGCTTTACTTGTATTGCCTTTATCATCCTTGATAGTGATTGGTCTGCCCTCTTTTATTCTCTCAAGCGCAGCAGGACAATCCAGCTAAACAAACAAATACCGCACTCACATGAATTGTATTTACTATTAATTTAATTGATAGTAAATAAAAATAGATGTAACTTTTAAAAGCGTTTAACCCCCTCTGTCAAAATTCCACACAATGAACATAGCATTGGACATTTCATTTCCCTATTTTTTCTCCTTCAATCTATCTTATTATACAGCTAGCAACTCCTGCAGGCAAGATGAAGCAGATCCTGTTTTAAGATTGGCTACTCACTCAGGATTGCCCATATTGATCCCATGCGAGAAAAAAAAAGTGTGTGGAACAGACTTACAAAGTTTGTGACTTTTAGACAGTACTTTAATAACAATCAAGATATTCTTGATTCTTATTAAAACAAAATATTTTTTCTATAGAATAAATCCTTTATTGACCAAACTTGTTCAGTCAAGACAACTGGATATTAGCCGAGTTCTTTAATTTTCATTTTTATAGACCTCGATGTTGTCTCTGTCCATAAAAACGCAAAAAAAAAAAAAAAACTAGGCCAATATCCTGCCATCTTGACCTCAGGATTGGTCAATAAGGTATATTATTTCATGTTTGCCATGACAGCACCAGCCACAGAAATGGCAAATTCCAATTATAAGACCTGACATCCTACGACCTATGTCACAAATCTCATTTTTTTTTTAAGGTATTTTCTAATTAGATGGTTGCAACTCAAGTTTTACCAAGTGATCATTAGACCAGTGAGTATCAATGTTAGAACAGAGAATGGAGACTGAAGAAACCCAGTGGCCATCTGAACATCAATACATTAATATGATAACATTTTAACAACAACAATTTGTAAAAGTACACCTGACACATCCTAGAAAGTCCATAACTGATCCTTTGCGATTTCCACTTAATCATGCATTTAATTTTTTTTACACCCCTTCCTGTCAAAGAGCCACATTTAGTGTTTAAGAAATAAAAGAAAACTCAGATTCATAACAATCTTACCCTGAATTTTTTCATGAAAGCTTCTACTGTTGGATACTCAGCTGACTGCACAAGCTTGAAGGCAGCCTGAAAATACCATGTCTTGTTAACTACCTCTAACAATATTAATTTACACTCATAAATCAGTATAAGGTGGAAATATTTTAAACAATCTTATAGGAGACTCCTGGTTAGAACAAAGAACAAACATCTTCACCTAGTTTAAATTCAAGATACCATGTTGAAACAAAGCAATCAACAGAAAAAGATTTCTTAGTTAAAATCCACATCTACAGAGAATGGAACATATTAAGTTAACTACTATGCAACAAATTTAGCATTAAGTAAATAAAAAAGGTTACTATCATGATGGAATTATAAAGTTTAACCACTAACAGATATATATCTCACCTTGTACTGAACCAGTAACTTAGAACATGCTGCAGTGTATCTAGACAAAATTTGAACAGTGATTGTCAGTTAGTATAGTTCTAAGTTATGAAACCCACATTTATTCTGTATGCAGAGAGCAAAAACTGTATATGATAATAATTATCTAAACATTACAAAAGGCTAAAATATAACTATTTCAGATCCCTTTTCATGTTTTTGTACAATACTATGTGTAAACAGGATAAAATCAGTATAAAAAGTGAGGAAGGATGTACTGAATCAACAACAAGGAAAGAGAAAATTATCAGGGCTAAAAGAATCACCATGTCTACTCCAAAAATAGAACATTGATATTTTTTTTACATAAGAATGAAAATATCAGCAATTATCTGGGTTTTAATTAAATATTGAGTACTTTACAAGAAAAGGAAAATTTTTATCAGGAATCACTATTCAAACTTACTCTCTTGGTGTTACTACATCTCTGATGTAAGCTTTCTCCAGACATTGCAAGGTGTTGATAATAGAAAATAGATCTGCCATGTTGTCATATCTGGACAGATAAAGTGAATATAAGGAACGAAACAGAGTAGGTATGAACCTTCATTGGGCTAATACTAGTACTGTCAGGATCACTGCGAAAGATGCATCCCACTTCAATGGAAGTTGAAAATTATCAGGTTTTATGATGCAATGAGATGATGAGACATTATGCCTACTTATTGGAGGTGTCTGGTTGAGGTTGGGGAAAGGTGAACAAGTGACCAGTCTACAGAGTATCACAGGTGCACCCACAAGTTCTTTTTTAAAAAATTCATTTTGTATACCAGAATTGCTGCATTGCACACACAAAATCTTACAAGTACTGTCATACTCTGCAAACTGGCCAAGTGAAGATTAACACTTTCACAAGACTGTTGATTGTTGTGTTATGCTACTGTTCAACATCTGCATTTAGATAGCTGCTTCACCTATAATGTGTCAAGTTGCAACTCATGGACTTTGCAAGCAATGACTTGGTCAAACTTTCTGTACTTTCCACACCAAGAGGCAGCTAAGGTCATTGCTAAGCATTACTTCTGGATGGGATGTAAATAGATTGTGCACTGGCCTATATACCCCCCCCCTACCAATTTTATCTGGATTCCCTGATTCACTCCCAGTAGAGAGACACGGTGAGAACCAACCATTAGTCACAAAAATCATTAATTCATTACCTGTTAAGACTTGAAATCAGATTTTCCAATCTAAATGTTTGCACCTAACCATTGGGCCAGTGCACCTCTTACAAGCAACTTGTTCATCCTTCAAGAATAATTAATCTCCATATGGGGATAGAGCATTTCATTTGATAACATCATTCAATTGGTCAGATACAACACTTACGTTTCCCTCTCACGAGCATTCTTGTACAGCTTCACTTCCTAAAGAAGGAAACAAGATAGAAAAGTCCTATCAGTGACATACTTTTTTGATTAATAATTTGTGTACTCAGATACAACGAATATATGAAGTTCATATATTTTGAACTGCGGTATTAATTCAGGTCTGATTTTCGCTATTGCATAAATAGTGCTATCTACTGCGAAGGATCGTGCATCATACGTAATTTGTGTACTATAAATCAAATTAAACGCATCTTGGAGCAACTGGAGAATACCCAGCCACCTCATTTACCTGTGTCGGGAGGCTTTGAAGAACGAAGCATAACACAATAGAGGCTATTCTTATTCACTGACATGTAAATGACTGGCCGGGTATTCTGCAATCTAGCTGCCTTTGAATTTTAATATAATATACTTAACTATTGTGAATCAAACAGAATTCGAATGGAGTCATACATACCTCAAACAGCTCTGGCCTCATGGCTGTTAGAAACAAACCAACCAAGAAATAATTAATAAGACAAACCGTTAAATCGATAAGTAACATTTTAAATAGTTGTATCAGCAAAAAGAGCCAGAATTTAAAGAAAAATTATAGATGAAGTCGTGAGACGTAAGAATATCTCGAGACTTATTGGTTTTCCACAACCCCCAGTTCCCTTCTATTAGGTACCGGTAAATTCCTTTCCTTAAAAACTAGAGCTTACAATTGTAATTGCAAGAAAGATATACAAACCTTGAGGAGAGGGCTGATTTCCAGAAATACCAGCAAACATATTAAAAAAATGACACTACAAGGCGAACCGAATTAAGCTCTGAATCATATCCTTGTTTTAGTCTTACATGACGTAGTTGGGACCAAGGTTGGTTTGGAAAAATTGCTTGGTAGCCTGGCTTTTGTGTCAGGCTCAGGCTCCAGCCGCGCGCCCTCGGTGTTGAAGGTGGTTAATTGTAAGGCGTTGGTTAAGGCACTTGTGAAAAAGTTCAAATGAATAAACATAAAGGGGGTAAATTTATAGAGAAACCGTGGTGCTGTGTCGGTGAGGGACAAGACAATTTGGTTTTATCAATCCCGTACAGGCCTGAAATTTTTTTCAGGTCTGATTTTCACTATTGCTCAAATAGTGCTTTACTGCGAAGGATCGTGCTCATATACGTCTCATAACCGCAGTTCACACATATGTTTCATATGTTTGTTGTTGTTTGAATTGATTATGTAAATCTAAAGCTGACATTTCGAGCGTTAGCCCTTCGTCAAATACCCTGCGAGCAGAGCCTTTTTCACCCGTCCTCGAATCGAAAAGGGAAAGAAAAGAAGAAAAGGCGAAGCTCGCAGGGTACTCGTCAATGCGTTTTCCGTCAAATCATATTTCATTCGCTCTGACGAATTGAAGGGCTAACGCTTGAAACTGTCTTGAGAGATCTACCTTCTTAAAAAATTCTGTATTCCAGTTTCCCCTATTTGTTGATGATGTTATATCAATAAATGTCGAGGGGCAATGAGTTACGTTCTCCGGAACCAAACGGCGATCATGCTTGTAACTTTCTTATTTGCAGTACATATATCTTATTAGTATATACACACTCAGTGATCTTGGCGTTTTAAGCAATCTGATTGGTTCGCTATCTCGGGCTAATCAACATTATTAAAAACTGGATCATTGGATACTGCAATTCAGGACTTTTTATTGGCTTAGCCATTATGGTATATGAGCCAATATACCATAATCTAAAATCCGTAGACTGTAACAACCAGTTTCTTACACACAACCGAAGCAGTTTCAAAGCTCTACGAAGCCGGCGAGTTAGTAGATGCAAGATGCCTCGATCCACAAAAGTTACAGCAAAAAGCGTGTTTTTTTTATAACCCTCTACTTTGGTCGAAGGGAAAACCAATTCAGACTATTAGTTTAGGCTTTCTGTGAAGGAATTTTGAGCATTTTGAAAGAATTTTGTAGAAAAAAAGCTCGAGCAAAGATTTACCGCGTTTCAGCTTTCTGTAAACACACTCAGTGTTCATTCATCAGGCATGAATTGACGTCAATAAATTGCCTTTAAATGGCTTCCTTTTAATTATTGTCGAGATCACTTCGTGTGTATATGTCAAAACAATTATTATTCTCAATCTCGGTGAATAGTGGCTTTCGGGAATATTTACCTCTCCGCTTCGCGGCTCGGTAAATATTCAGCCACTATTCACCTCGATTTCAAAGAATAATTGTTAATTAGACGTTTTGTTGTACAGTATCGCTATCTCCACTGGCCAGTAGCGGAGAAACAGAAAAATTTAGAATCCTCAATTAGTTTTGTATGAGAGTGAGATCCTACCGTGTGACTGTAACAACCGCCTACTCGTGGAGGGTCTGGGTACGAGACTAAGGCGGTGAGCTTGGGAAAAGGAGAACAAATTTTGCAGAAAGTAGAGAAAGCGATGAGGTCACCTAAAGTTTTTGATGTGAATCTAAATTCAAGAGAGCGATAAATTTAAAACCAAGAATTTTGGACGACAAATATTCGTATCAACAAGGAAAGAACCCGCGAACATTGGAGCTCTATAGGTCGTTTGAAGACGCTTCAGTTTTCCTGCCCCTTTTCACCCCTTTACCGGTTACCAACATCTCATGAACAGCTATTGCTTTTATTCTTATTTATGCCAAAATTCATTCGCTTTCACTCAAATAAATAAAAACACAGCGAGAAATTTCATTAATTCAAACTATGTAGCAATTATTAATCCAAGCTATCTCTGCTCGAAAAACACGTCTCGTATTCGGCGTGTCTCCACGGTAGACTTGGCCAGCGGTTTATTTCTCGTTGTCCTGTAGACTTCGTTAGCGTATGCTAAGGCTCTCTCTTGATTTTTAGTTCTTCCCGTTCTGTTAAGAAACAAAACAGCGAGAATCAGGTCCGTTAATAGAACAGTTGTCAATTGAGTGTCGAAGATAACAAGGGTTGCATTGGCTTTGTTTACTCTGTGATGGGTTCAGAAAACTCGGGCCACCCTCTTGACTAATCAGAGGCAAAAACTTAAACCAATCACGCTTTAGGCAGTTTGGTTGGTTTTACTTTTAGTACTCATTGGCTGTTGAAGTATTTTCCATTCTTCTTCTGATTGGCCGTTGTGGTTACTTTAGTTTTGGTTTAGCAACGTTCAATCAAAAAGTGCCCCGCCAGGAAAAACTGATGACCACGTCCGCCCGTGAGAAGGTTCATTCCTAACATCTTACGGTAGTGGTATTTTGACGGATCAGTATTATTAAATTATACCACCCCATATTGGTCAATGACAAGCACGCAGAAGCACACAAAAACCTTACCACTTCAAAGTGCGTTGCAACCGAAAACACCATTTTCAAGGCCTTGCTATAGTGACAGCATTTTCTTTGTGTTTTGTTTCTGTCACAATATGCTGAGCCTCAGAAGGCAGACTCCCTAGCCCCCTACGATAGCCTTTACACAATGGGGAAGGAAGTGACGAGGTGGTCAGAACAACCTTAAAATAAAAATAGACGTTACACAAAACGTATAGGTCTCATCCACATACTTACGCAGGTATTCTGCGAGACTTGGTAGCCTGAAACACACTTGGTAAGATAAAAAGTCTCACTGGTGGAACTGTTTCTGTTCTGTCTTTGTAATGTTCCCGATGATGTTGGGCGGCCTGATCAAGAAAAACATTTAAGTTTCCTTTTGGGTATTTTACAAAGTATGCACCAGTATCATTGTTTCCTTTGACCTCTGGTCACTTCTGGTGGAGTGAACGTGTCAGTAGTGCTCTTGAAAAAGAACTAGAAACATTTTTAATCTGGTTGCCCTTATATGGTGCGGAAAATTTGGAGAAAGAGCAACCTTCGTCCGAGGATACTCCTGGGCTGCGTGATTATGGTAGCTGTACACACGCGCCACATGGCCGACTTTTTTTATTTACCATAATTGGCAGGAATGTTGCAATCTGACTGGCCAATATCCATTGTCGATAAGAGCACAGACAACGCTGCTAGCGTCAACGTGTCACATAACGTGTCACGCACTGAATGAATCGTCCATTTTACGTCAATGCTGTGGTAAACCCCTTCCCCCCCCCCCCCTTCGCCGGGGTTGGCTTTGGTTGGCAAAGGAATAAGAAAATATAGAGGGTGGTGGCTGGAGAGAAGTATGTGACATGCAAAACAATGTTTGTTCCCACAGATCCAAGCACGATTTTAACAAAACACACACCTTATCGCATTTTTTGATAGCCACGTCCCTGTCGTCTGTATTAAAAAGTTTGTATTTAGGTGCTGCTTGCCATCGGTCTCGTGATCTGGGGCGCGCACCCAACACGTGTTGAGGATTGTTCATATAGTAAGTAGGAAAGGGGAGATATTTGTCCCCACCCCTTCCCATCCGTTCTTTACTCGTGTTCAAAGTAGCAGTCCTCTAGTCCTGGAACCAGCGGCCAGTTGTGTTCCCAAAAGTCTCACCGTAGGTGAACTTGGTCTGTGGCGTATACCCGAGGTAACTAGAGAGGTACGGTAAGGATTAGTTCAAATATGGGGTGCATCATGAAACCAAAAGGAAAATGCTTCTCACGAACTCCTGATTGACTTTTTGTTTTGTTTTGTTTTGCTTTGCCTTTTTTTTTCTAATTTGTTGAAAATGTAGCGCTGGCACGAGTTTACCGTGCCAGCAAAATGTAGTGCTGGCACGAGTTTTCACAGGAAGTTGAAATAACAACACAATTCCTGATTACCTCCGACAACAAAACTGGCCAACAAAAACGATTTTATCCCTGATAGCAAAAGAGAACTTCAGTATCTCATGAACGTTTATCGCCGTAAAAGTCATTTTGAAAACATAGAATAATCCCTGAGAACAACGTTCTGGTATGATTGATGTTAATTGAATTAAAAAATCCTCAGTCTCGCTTTAGTGCGAATAAAGTGCATGTGTGCCTATCATCTTCGTTAATAAACCAACCATTTCTGACTTCTTTGAACTACGCATATCGTTCCTTCCTGTAATTCAGAGCATGATTCATTTTCGAGGATGAGCCTTTCCAGGCACGTACTATACTTTATTTAGACCGATGACAAGAGCGAGGAAACAATCGATAATCTGCAGGTACCTGCATAACGATGTAATCTTAGCAGTCCATCACGAATTATCGCAGCTTTAGATACTTTTTTCGGGATGTCACAATAAAATCCTCTCTGACCTCCCTTGTTTCAACTCGGAAAGTTATGTTTATAAAACTTGTTATTCAGGTTTCCAATAGATTGTCCTTGCCGTAAGTAAATCGTTTTCGTAAATGTTGTGTGGGTTCAATTACTTTCTCAGCCACATGGTGGCAGACCGGATATTAAAGACCATCCTTGGAAACAAAAATATTATTTCTAATCTCAAACAATTTAGAAAAAAATCTCAGCCGTCGAGAACTCTAAAACTCCAGAAAAACCCTTTGTTTCAAAGTCGATGCAAATATTTTTACATTCAATTGGCTTATTTTGTTTTGATGAATTTGCAAACTTTTGGATCCGAAACTATATTAAAATAGTAAAATATTACTCTAGGAAAGACACCATCCTAATGAAAATTAACACTCCAACTGCAAAAATGCTTCCAAACTACTCTCCCTCACTCCCTCTCTTACAATTTTCCCTTGCATAGACCTCAGCGTTACATCATACCCAAGGTTTTGCTAGACCGAGATAGTTTCATTTAATATTTTCTCTTGTTCTACGCGACCTGTCTGATAAGTACTTACCCTGGAACATGTCTCGGTTGTCGGTATATCTCCATGTTTGTCGTTAGTAAAGTCAGTTTCTCCATTTTGTACCGCACTAACTTCCTTTCTCTTCTTTGCAATCCACTGGAATACCGTGCAACGATCGGGGAAAAAAGTTAATAAATTTTTCGTGTTCTGCCACAAGCACGCTCCTGCGTTGCTAGCAACAAAGATCGCAATTTGCAATTCAAATCGGGATCGTATCAACTGACGCGTGAAATGTTATTAAAACCATCTGATTCGCGCCCGCAAATTCAGCGGATCGCCCTTAAACGTTCGCTTATTAAACAAAGTTGTGTTTACACCACATGACTCGAGTTTAATAAAATCTCTCCATCAGTTTTGTAAGTATTTTCTCTCCAGTTGGTGTTGTTTGTATATCTGTTACTGTTAGTCCTAGACGTACTGGTGTTTGCACAACAAAGTACGAACGATAAGTCCTTTGTCGAAATATTAAAATTTTTTAACTTGAAGGATCAAGATTAACCTGACAGGGCGCTTTAAAGAAAATTAGACAAGTTTTAACCTTTAACCCAAGCGGGGACCATTTAGCGCTAAATTTCACAACAATGTAATTATTTGACAGATATCCGTGAATTATTAACCAAAGAAACAGTCTGTTCAGTGAAGTCAAGTCGAGATCTCCCCAATCCGATAAAGGTATGGTTGACCACCCAACAATTTTTCAGAATACTAACATGACAATAACTTGTGTACTAGGACAGCTGAGGTACAGTTCAAAGGCATACTTTCAAAAGTTTCTCTTTGTTGTTTTTTTAAGACAGTTCTTACAAAAGGAAAACCCTCTTCGTAACTGATTATGAAATTATTGACAGAAGCTACCAATCGAAAATAGTACTTTGTACACTTACACTCCGGTTTCTGTATTTTGATATTCCGTTTGCCCAAGGACAAAGGCATTATGGGATATACTTATTCAGCAAGTTTTCCTGAATATCTGTCATTGACAGATTCTCTAATTTTCTCTTGAAAACCTTCGTTAGGGAAAAGTACTGTTTGATAATTGTGCAGTCAAACAAAGCAATCATCGCTGTCATTCAAAAAAGATAGACAAACCTCACGAAGAGCCAATGAGATCTGGGATGCGCGCTAACGCAAAGGAAAAGGTCTCATTGGTTTCAACCTCGTTCTTAGAGTCTCTCATCTTCCCGCCCCCTGGAGTGAGAGAAGGGGATGGAAAGATGAGAGACCCTGGGAACGAGGTTGATTTGGTTTAAGTTTGCATCTGAATGGTTGAGAATGTGGAGCGCGCGATTTCCAAACCAATTACAGTGCGTAATGAGGCAAAACTACTCAATTAGGAAATTAATTGTCTTTGTTATGTTTTGCGCTCACTCAGTTTGGTAGATAACTTTTTGTTTACAAAAGCCGATTAGATCTTATCCAAGCTCAGAGGTTTATGGAGGTCACTGCCCGTAGTTTGTGAAAAGGCGCTTAAAGCCATCATTGATGCTTCGGAGAGTTTGACGCAAATATTCAAGCGCTAAGCGACAGTCGTGGAATTGATTTTAATTAACCTTACAGTGCTTAGAGCGCGAAAACTCATGCTACCTTTACTTATACTGAGCAAGAGAAACATATTCTCTTCACCAAGAGAATACGAACAGTTATATTCTCTTGTACTGAGCATCCGTCCTTTAACCTAGACCTCGGAAACACATAACCGAGATCATTTGCAGAGGTGGTCGTTGCAACTCCAAAAACACCACTTCGTAGTGGATGGTCACGACAGCCATTGAGATCTAACCCCAAGTAGGAATATGTATGTTGATCGAATTTTGCTCTGGTTTCGCTATGAAATTGCGTGTCGGTCGAAACATATGATTTCGACAGGAAATGATAAGTTCTGTGCAAAGGATACAAGTCGAAAAATTTAGGGGCAAACTCGTTAAGGTGGTATGGGGAAAACTTGCAATGGCATACCTCCTTCAAATAGGAAAATAAGCTTTTTGGGACGAAATGCGTTGCGTTTAAACAAGTGGTTCTGAAAAATGTTCAGTTTATTACAATGATTTCACTTGTAATAAATAAGAAAGGAGCATTCAAACCCACTCACAAATACGTCCCTTACCTTAAATGGTCTGTATGATAAGCAACTACCTCATGTATCCCAAACAAATTCTCTTGTAATTGTAAAAATGTGTTGCACACACTAAATATTTGAAAGCATACACGCAAAATATTTCAATTATACGAGAAAGTTTGACAGCACTGAGAAGACTACAGTTCTCGCCATAGCTCTCTCTACTGCAGAGTATTGAAAAAGTTGATTTCTGAGATAAAACAATTTCAAAACCGGCCGAAAAAATCTTACTCAGTGCAACTTTGCCTTCATATTACAGTTCAAATACAAAGCTTCTATAGAAATACGGAATGTTAAAGCGTCCTGATGCATGAAAGACAAAATGAACTTCACTACCAATCACCGTGTTCACGTAACCGAAGATCACGCTAGGAATTTTCACTAAACAGTCCTTATAAAGTTTTACAAAAAAACAGCCTGGAGACCAATCACCAGTAACACAGGTCATCAAAATAGTGCGCTCTGCCTTAAAGTTGAGCATCTTCACATACGTTAGTGTAGAAAAATATTCTATTTGGAGCTCGATATTTAGTCAGATTTCTTAAGACAGCCTTGCAAAATGCACACGATCAGGGGCAAGAAAGTAACGGCAAAAATAGATGTTTTGGTCTGCAGGATGTATAACCACAAAGTCTTACTTTCAAAACATCTGTGCATAAGAATACAATATAAGGACCCGCCTTGAGATAACCACACCTGATTCTCCCCTAATGCATTGAAATATTATTTGCCTGTGACTAACCTACGCCTTACAATTTACATTTATGTTGAAATTAACGACAGTTCATAGACAGGGAAGACATAGCTGTGTTTGGCTGAAGGTCTTCAGACGCGGATCCTGAAAGAGCTAACAGAGACAGAAAAAGAAAGGTTAGTTTAATAATAAATCACCTTCTACAAAGGATTAAAACCATTTAAAGGAACTCGCTGGCCAAGTTGTAAGAGCAAATGACTCCAGTCAGGGTGGAACTAACAATGAGCCGAAATCAGGGAAAATGTTCGGAAAACGAGAAATTTGCGAAGGAGAGATAAAGACATACGTTGTCACACCGGAGACTGGTAGCGTTACTTACGGTGCTTGCCACTGATCAGAAATAGCTAGCCAGACCCGTCGATTCACAACGTTAAGTCCAGATTATTAGGTGCAACTAGCTCGATAGATCAGTCCATCCTAAATGACATCCACGGACTACCATGAGTTTTTAATTCAAACTAAGAGATCTCTTGAAAAGACTGATTTTGGTTTCTAATGCGAAGGTTTGGTGTCCCAGTGCCTACTGAATAAGTCTTCCTTAGCCGAGGCCAAGCGAACCTAGCACCCTATCAGCTGAAGCTTACCCCATTCCTGTACCATAAAGTGTCTTAGAGTATTGTTATTTCTCCTGACTAGAGCGTTTGTCTAAGGAATCCCCCACCACACCATTTTACAATACTGTTTCGTGTTCACCAATTATACTCATGGTTGGAGAGATGGAGAGAGGTATTGTGAGGGCAAGATAACCCTGACAAGGGCTCCAGCCTTGACTTCTTAATTTTGGTCCAGAGTCCGGCGCGCCCAGTATCAACGCGTCTCTGATCGGTGGTTAATGATCATACTCAGTTAATAACCCTGGACTACCAGTTATATAGAGGGTGTAAATTGAGCATTACTTTGGTATGGTACTTTACACTGAACTGTTCGGGGTGATTTTTTTTTATTAAAACAGCCTGTGAATGAAACCTCTGTATGAAACCATTCAAATGAGAGCTAAGGAGTAGCAATGGACTGAAGAATGTGCAATGGACTGAAGAATATAGGTGAACACAGATCACTAGTTATGCTGAAGCCAAAAATTGCGGCTTTTACTACATTAGAAGGGGGTTATCGCTTAAACTAACCAAACACCCCTCACATGTCACTCCGTCTAGCATTCAACGTTCCTCACAAAAATACTACTTGGTCAGTAGATGTCTATATCATAATTTTGGAAACCTTCCGTTTTGTCGTCTGAAAACAAAGGAAAAAAACTTACTTGACAAAGTCGGGTGCTTTTGATATCACGTGTTCAAATTCAGCAAAAGACAGTTGACTGTCATCATCCAGATCAGCCTCGTCAAATATCTGAGGTAAATCAAAGAGTAAGATGGTTATTTTTTTAACCATCTCTTCAGGTAACATTTTCAGCCATAGAAATTACCAACACTTTACTGCTAGAGAATGTTATCTTGATGCGACACCAAATTTTCTTAACTGATAAACACGGAAAATTTATAGTAATATCAGGTAACTTTCTAGCACTCTTTCCATTTTGTCGAGCACCTGTGCTAAGAATTTTCCTCACGTATCCCATCAAAGAAAAAATAAAAAAAACTTTACTAACATATTTTATATCCATCCTGGTATAAATAACTCAATGAGCAATAAAATAATATTTCCCACAAACTCTACGAGGTTAAGAAGTGATCATACTCTTTAACTAAAATTAATTCCATGTGAGACCATCCACTGAGCTAACCGCCTCCCGGTTAGCTCAATGGATAGAGCGCTGGACTGTTGTGCGGGAGGTCGAGGGTTGAAGCCCCGGCCGGACCAACACTCAAGGTCTTAAAATAATTGAGAAGAATATGCTACCTTTCWATAACATCAAGTAAAGGTTAGATATTCTAGTCTTCTCGGATAGGGACGAATAAATGGAGGTCCCGTCTCCTACAGGGTTAGGGGCAGGAGACGTTAATTTCCCACGCACGAGATTACTGTGTGATGGATGTTCTTCCCTGGGGTGGGATGGATGGGATTTAATGGGTGGACTACTCGCATGGATCGCATATGTTCCGTTCTAGTCCTGCCCTACTGCGGTACTGCAGTGAACTAAGGTGAGACCCTTCTGGGTGTCTACTGATACCATGATACAGTATTTAGAGGGGGTGGGATAGGTTCCCTTGGTCTCTGTCAGAGCGAGGCTGCGATACCAAGTCAGCATTTATATATTGCGTCAGCATTCATCACATGACTGAGGACGCGTTAATGGTTTGAGATTTTGAGATTTGTGCATATGAGTGTCAGAGGCTCTAGAGCGCCATTTCGTAACGCGAACTGAAGTCTTCAATGATCTTAGATCAAATGGTGACGCTGCAGGAGTTTGTCTGATTTCGTTCCGCCTTCCTTTTTATCTGGTGTTTTATTGGGAGTGTTTGAACTCATCGTCTATAGACGGACAGCTTTTGAACGATTTAATGTATTAGAGTTCAACAATAACCCTTAGATGATGCGTTTACGTATTAGAACGGTTAAAAACCATTCTAACCAGTATATGTAATAATTTTTCAATAAATGAAGCCTAACCTTGTACCCTAAGAAGGGCATTTAAAAAAATCCTTATGAAAATAAGCTTTATGAACGACAAGTAGTAAACAAATGATATTAACTACGTAATTGAATAACGCTTTGAATTCCTTTAAAAGAATGGTATTTTGATTACATGATAGCATAAAAATTAAAATTACTGAAGACAGCGTCGTCAAATTATTTGCCGCACACAATCGCAAAGTTCCATTGGAGTGAATTTCGTGGCCTCATAACTGATATCTGTAATCTCGTGAATCTCTCCTACGAGGTGTAAAAAATAAAGGTTCAGACGAGACTCTGGGTGCTTTTTCTTTAATATGGATTGAAGGTTTTAAAAGAATTAATTTGAGGGGCTTGGTTTGAAAAACGCTCCAGGATCAGACAGATCAATATCGGTAAATGTTACGTTCAAGTTTGGGCTTATTCCAGAACTATCGAGCACAAAAAACTTACTCGTCAGACAACAGTTTTGGTTTACAGAGCTCCGTTTTAAGGGAAAGGGAAAACGTGTTTTGGTTGTTTCTTGTTTAAGGCGCGTTGGCGCCAAGAACAACGCTTCAGTGCTTTTGTCCAAAGTCCTTGGCTTTCAGAACAAGACCGCCTTTTTTCAGCGAAAGGCAGTGATTTGGAACAAGCGTAAACAAACTTAAAAACACCAATATCGTTTCCGCTTCGATGAAAATTGAAAAAAAAGACTGCTAGGGAGAGCTCATAAAAAGTTTAATTTGCGTATGAAAGGAAGCTAAAATGATTTAAATGCCCGCAAAAGAACAGAAAAGAAGCTTGTGTGATTCTTTTGGAACAACAGAGCTACCCTGTTTTTATGCTTCACATACTGCATTAAAATAACTCTTTCAGGACGTACAGACATCGTAAGAAGAAGGATATATTTTTCACGCACAAACAGAATTAGGGGAAAGTAAAAATGAAATAAATACTAAAAACTTCGTATAACTGAGGTACTCTCGAGAAGAATGCTTTAGTTTATAATTAGACCCTCGTTCTAGAGGATTCCGTAAAGAAACTTTTCAATCCACCAAACAAATCCAGACCCATTAAAGCATAGTAAGATTTTTCAGATATACATGGAAGAAAAATGTGTGCGACTCCAAACAAGCGTTTACCATGTTACCAGAACAATCCTGAACGCCTTCGTACTTGACAAAAAAATATATTATGTAATGGTTGAAAGCCGACTGTTTATGGTTGAGCGCGTCCAAAGCCTATATTCAAACGAGTGGCATAAAACTAGAAAAAAAACAAAATCGCTGGACTGTATACGCTTGGGGTGCGCGCCTTCGCATCACATTGAAAATTTTATTTGAGAGAATTTTAAACACAACCCGGTCGTGATGTATGGTTATAAATTCATAGAACGCTTAACCAGAAAGAAAACTGATGATTTTGTTCCGAGTGACACTCCCTTTAAGCGATGTATGAACGTGTTCGATCTGACAGCTCTCGGGATCGGTGGCTTGATAGACGCAGGGCTGTATGTTGTAATCGGTCAGCTTGCGCATTCTGTCGCAGGTCCAGCTGTCATCGTGTCCTTCTTAATTGCGGCTGTAGCTTCTCTCCTGGCCGGTATTAACTAAGCGGAGTTTTCATCCAGAGTGAGCCGCTCCGGCTCCGGCTACATCTACACGTACGTTGGCATGGGAGAGATCTGGGCCTTCGTGACAGGCTGGTGTATGATTACAGAGTATGTTCTGTCTGCAGCGTCCCTGGCATCGGCCTGTAGCGAGTACATCAATTTTCTTTCCAATGGTTCCGTGTACAAATTCTTCGAGGATGAATTCGGCCTTTGGCAGGCCACTGCGCTTTCAGAGTTTCCGGATCTTGTAGCCTTCGCGTTGGTTTTTCTAGCGACAATTATAATCTGCCTAGGTGTCAGAGAGTCCAAAATCATACTGGACGCAACAGTCTTTGCCAACCTGCTCATAGTAACTTTCATAATCGTTGTCGGGGGCTACCATGCCAACGCTTACAACTGGTCCACTTTGGAGAAGTTTGCGCCTTACGGCTGGACAGGTATACTTACAGCAGCCTCTAGCTGTTTCTATTGCTTCATAGGCTTCGATACTATACCAAATGCGAGCGAGGAGGCCATCAACCCCAACGTGTCCGTACCACTGGCCATTCTAATGTCTTTGGGAATAAGCCTGTTTGTTTACATCGGAGTCATTACAGTTCTGACCATGATGGTTCCTTATTATCAGTTAAAGGACCTTGCACCCGTCGCCGAAGCCTTCGCCAAACGTGGATTTGCTGCCTCAAAATATATCGTTTCCGTCGGCGCCTTGTGCGCGATGCTGAGTAGTTTGCTGGCCGCGTGTTTCGCGACACCGCGTCTGATTTACGCCGTTGCTTATGACGGTCTCATTTTCGGCTGCTTCACTAAAATAAACAAGGAAAGGCAGGTCCCATTGCGAGCTGTGGCTGTCAGTGGAGTTCTAAGCGCGCTGCTGGCGTTTTTGTTTAACATGCAACAGCTGGTCGAGATGATGGCCATCATGACACTTATAGCTTACACTATGGTGTCTATATCAGTAATACTCACTCGCTACCAAAAAAATCCTCAGGGGGTATGCTACGAAAAGCAGTTATTGGAACGAACGCAATCTTGGCTTCGAAAATTACTAAAGAAGAAAAAGAAAGGAAAGAAAAACGACTACAAGAAACTTCCGTTGTCCGAGAGTGACCGTGTCACGACAACCTGTCGCGCTAGTCCAAGCGAGTGTTCTAACACTATAGCGAATGTCACGGTATTCATCATGATTCTATCCATGTTTGCCGTGTGCGTATATCTCAGAACTTGGATGACTAATTCAAAGTATATCGATGCCTTCACGATCTTTCCCGTGGCGCTTTACTCGTCCATCACAGCTGCATGTCTTATTATTCTACTATTTCAGCCAAGAAACAGTGCGACTTTTTCGTTTATGGTTCCATGTGTTCCTCTTCTTCCCTCGCTCAGTATATTTATTAACATGTTTTTGATGACACTGTTTCAACCACATACCTACATCAAATGCACAATTTGGATAACCTTAGGTAAGTAGCCTTTTAATTATGTGTACATATTGTATTTTTCTTTAGTCTAGAGAAACTAGGTGGAATCGCTGATGTCGTAACTAGGGACATAAGGCTACGCGCATATTTAATTTCGCACAAGCGCAACCATACGCGCATATCACGCGCCCAAATACAAGTGCGACTTCCTCACAAGTTGTTACAAGCACATTCTTCTTGAGGGGTGAATCCGCGCGTTCAGAAGTAAACACGTTTCCACGCACGCAAAAAATAAGCGCGTCCTTCTCGCGCGCTAGGACAAGCCCATTTCAGTCGCGTCTTTCGCGCGCGCTAAGACAAGCCCATTTCAGTCGCGCACGCAGGTCAAGCACACTATCTTCTTGATTGTTTTGGTGCGCGACGAAAACCAATTAATGATGACCTCCAGACTTAAGTAGAGCTATTCATGGCATTTCGATTGATGTTTTTTTTTCCATTAAGAACAGAGGTACTGAACCGTTACCCACGCATTAACAACGGGTGGATAAGATATTTCAATCGAGAAAAGTTTACTCAATCAACCCTTAGCACGAAAAATGTCGTAAAAGAAGAGCACATATAAGGAGAGAGGCCATCATTTTGCCCCAGTTCGGTTCATAACTCTCTTTTTATTCAAACATAAAATACTGGGATAAAATGCTTAACATTGCGAAATAAACAATAGCGGTCTAAAAAAACCTTATCTTGGTGTTCAATGTCACATTTTTCCCATCGCAGTCTTTAAGCAAAATTAGTATTCTCGGGCACTTCTTGATAAGATATTTCTAATGACTCCCACGAAGAAACATAGGCTAATATGGAAAATTTACAGGTCACAGTAAAGAAATTGCACGCCACACCTTGTACACTGAACAAACCACAAAGGCATTGAAGCAAGAAAAACTAATAATATCCAAAGCTTAAGCATTAACAAGCTGCGTTCGAGAACAAATCATTGAGGCGGTAAAGTGGAAAAACTACAAAACTTAACTCAATATCACAACTAAGCTTCCATTAAAGGAAGTTTTGCCAGGCTTGGCTTTTTTTTTAACTTTAAACATAACAGTTAAGATACTTCACTCCAGCCGTTCCTTAATCCAATTCTCTTACGCCACCAGACAAGTTATGCAACACAATAGTGAATACCTTTTAAATCGCGACTGAACACAAAAGTCAGTGATGCAAAAAAATGGAAAACAGGGGTCTAATGACTTTATCAACTGTGGAAATCAAATGGTACTAATTCAAATCAGCAGTGTCAGAATAAGATCGTACACCTTGTAGTTGCCTCTTACTAAAAATGTGCTTACCCCTGGATATAACAAGATAAATATTAAAACAAATCAGACTTGGCTCAAAGAATACACAAAAGTGTGTCAAAGGCTTGTCAACTTATTGTATTTCTTTCATTTCAGGAATGTTTGTGTATTTTCTGTATGGATATCACAACAGTATTGAGGGCAAGATGCCTAAAAGCATAGACCTGGAATTTGAACCACTACCTGGTATACCAGTTACACAAACAGATGCCAACCTTCCCTTGAAAATGAAAAATGGTGACACATGAAAAGAATATAAGAAAGTAGACAATGGGGACTTCAAGACATTCCTACTATCTTTGATAAAAAGTAGACGTTGACAGAGAACCATTTGTCTTAACTTTTCTGCTCCTTATTTTTTTTTGTGTAACTGAAGTGAACTTTCTTTAACTAGCTTTTTTTTCTTTGGCTAGCTTTTCAAAATATGCTTAAGACAATAAGCATTCCTTACTGGTTGACCTACAGGTTGTTATTGACTTAGTTTATAAATCAGTGCATGAAACCATTATTCTCCCTTGAAGCTGTCTTGCAATTTTTTTGGCATTGTACCATTCTCAAGAATGACAATAAATATCAAACAAGTCTATCAATAACATTAAATTCATGCTACGATGATTGGAGTGGAGCAGTGTTGTAAATTCAGTTTCCCACCATTTTCAAAGAATATGTGCAAAACAATAATTAAAAGAGTCAAATAAGGACAATGTTTCTTTGTTGTCAATAATGTATAGGCAAGAACTTGAAATTTAGTTGTAATTTTTCTGTTACTATCTAAGAAGAGAGGGTGTGACTAAAGTCAGTGGCAGTTATTTCACAGAAAACTCAAATTTCCCCTGACGTGTAGTTTTTGGATTTGAGTCAAAGTTGCATATTTAATTTCCTGTAACCTAAGAGCAAAGTATATTGAAAAGTGATAATTACAAATAATGCCACACTATGCCACTATGAAACTGCAACAAGAGTTTACCTCTGTCTTGGGAATTACAATTAGTCAAGATTATCCACAAGCTCAAGGCTAATAAATCCTGGTTAGTACACAATTTTATATGTTGTGGCTTATGAAAAATCTCTCTTCCTTGACTTTCTTCATAATTCTGCCTCTTTTTTGATGCTTGAGACAATTGCTTTAAAAAATCTTTCTTTTAAAAATCCCTCACTGACTTTCCCACCTTTTGTATTGAGTAAAGCCATTGCTAGCTGTTTGGCTATGCCAATCATGCAATCAGTTTATAATTGCATGATTGCATTATGTTTACTGCTTGATCAAAGTCATGCACCCCCAATTATCAATTCCCACAAATTTACCTTGCCGGGCAATTTCCAACAATTTCACGATATCAATCTGCATTATTTTATCAGTAAATTGCATAAACAAGTATCTTTATGCTTTGTGAACCAACATCATTAAAATATTAATCAACTCATCACTCACTTCTTCATACAAAAAGGTGGACAAAATTCCCAAAAAAATGTAAACTAGTTTGGAAGATAAAGTCAGTCGTCACTTTAGTGTGGTCAGCTGGATAAATGATTTACCTTTTGAATTAAGGCATTAACATTCTCATTGGACAACTTCTGATCCCCACACAGTCGCTGGATGACTTTTTTCAGATCACCCTCACATATGTAATCATCCTCATTGAAATCTGAGAATGAATTCAAACACTTGTATTAGTCATGGGTGCAGAGACCCTAGAAAAACTAAGTTGATGACTATCAATTCGGAGCAGACACTTTCAAGTATCAAAAAGGGAAGTTTAGAGTGTGCCACATTTCACATCAACAAAACTCATTCCCCTCGTTAATGTTGTACAATAAGAGAAAATAAGACATTGTTCAGGGGAAGAAGGAGCCAGACAGAGTTCTCTAGAGGCACTAGCAACCAGCATTTTGACCAGCTATTCTATTCTGAAATCACAGATTCTTTGGACATTTAAGCAAAGGAATACCTGTCTCCATCTCAAATAAACTTTAACCTTTGCCAGCCTGATTTTTTAAAAGGGTTCTGCAGAGATTTTAATATGAAGTTTAGATTAAAATCACTTTTCGCTTTGATTTTATCATTGAATAAGCAGAGTTTCTCTTCCATCAACAACAATAACACAAAGATGTCAAATGTCATTTAACTTTTAGCTGAAACACATAAGAATCTACAATTTAAGCAAGTTTAAAAATCTTTTGAATTGATATTCCTGTTAAACTGCACACAATGCATATTTACTTAAATAATCACCGAATTGGCCAAGCCGCACATTGGTAGCACTTTTTCTTTACTTAATTTATTATTGTAAGTGAGGTGGCTCTCCCATAAGCCTGGTGGCTTCTCGGGTCTCCTCGCCTTCTAACTGTTATCGCTGTAATTAAATATTTTTTAATTGTTAAAATAAGGCAAATAAAGATGATGATGATGACGAAAAAGAGATTAAAAACACAAATAGGATAATACCTTTTCAAGGAAAATAACTCAATATCAAACCTACCATATATTCTAAAAGCATACTCCACTTTAACACTCTTTGGTGCCTAAAGTAAGGGAAAAGAACAGGTTAGAATCATCTAGGAGGGGTATAACAGCAAACACTACTTACAACAACCTCCTTCCTTGAATAATACCTTTTCTCTATGTCTGAGCCAGATTTCTAAGTCAAACATACTGTCAGTAATAAACTGTTTTGAGAAGAAAACAGTACAATTATGACTAGCCAAGGGCTAACTAACTCAATCAACTTGTTTCCATATTGATTATTAAGTTTTTGTATACTCTAACAAAAGTCACTTTGGGTAAAACTCTTGAATATTGCCAAATATGTGGCCTGGTAACAGGACTAACAGACTGGGCAGTAATTTTCTGTGCTGTATCTCTTTGAAATTATGCCTTTAGTTTTCAAATCAAAGTTTAACAGTATATCCCTCCCAAAGTTTAAAAACCTTTCAAAGTAAACAAAAAATCTACTAAGAAATCCTAACACTTTGTTGCATGCAGCCTTTTTAAGAGATGGTAAGATTCAATGTGTAACATTGATCATGCTTTCCCAATCAAACTGGACTGTTCTTATGTTCAGTTGTCAGTCTGCAAAGCTGTGTCAACCCATGTTTATTTGGAATATACTGATACACCACTTTCATAAATGGCTGCCGGATTGATATTCTTTTGTTTAAATTCAAATTAGCCTCACTAGCCTCGCTTGAGATAAAGCATTCTTTTGAATTTTGAACTGGAGAATGAGGCCAGAAAGGCTGATTTAAATTTAAACAAATTAAAGAATATCAATCCGGCAGCCATTTATGAAAGTGGTCAATACCTGAAACTATACACACTAAAAGAGGCTTTGTTTCGTCGAATTAGCTAGTACTTCCAGTATTTCTCATGTTGACATGCTCAGATCAATCTTCAACCACTAAATATGTACAATTAGTAAGCTTGTAAACTCACATTTTCACTAAAAACAGACATCATATCCAGGAAATCTTCAAATGTTAGTTCTCCATCCTTGGATGATGAAAATACTCTACAAATTCTGTCTTTAAAGGGATTCACCTGTGTAACAAAATGACCAGACATCATTGCTCAAATTCACATCTATATGTATAATTTGTAACAAGAGTTAATCAGCTAAAATACAAACCATCAAAAATCCTACTAGTAACATTGTAAAACACATGTAAGCATTAACCTTAACTCTAAGCTACTTTTCAAGTTACTCTGGCTTGTAATTAAAATTGAGTTATTTTAAAATTAATTATAATTAACAATTATTCCACGAGCGCACGTTGGATATGAGATGATAGATAGCCAACGAGGCATGTAGCGCCGAGTTGGCTATAATCATCTCATATCCAACAAGCGCGAGTGGAATAATTGTTTTATTAAAAACGTTAAATTAAATTATTAAATTTTATTGAATTTTAAGCTCCCTTTTAATTTTAAGCTGACACGTACGCTTCCCATATTTGTAGATTATGGTATATTGGTTGATATACCATAATGGCTAAGCCAATAAAAAGTCTTGAATTGCATTATCCAATGATC